GGACTCTCACTCTTGTGATACTTTGTGTGTTTGTGACGGGGTGTGGAATTGCCCGCTCTTGAGAGTTCAACAGTGTTAACCTCCGTCGTTATCAGCGTTGTCAGCGCCATATCAGCTGCGTCGAGGACACCTTTAGCAATGACTTTTTCCAGATGGATCCTTTACTGAACGGGTCATATGTACATTACGGTATGGGATTGCCCACCTCAGCGTACGCCGCTGCCGCAGGTCTCTCCTCACAGAATTATAACAGGTGGGTCAAAGTTTTCGTTCTGGTGTTTTTTTTTGAATAATGTGACGAATTTGTTCACGAGGAGTTTTGAGGACTTGAGCCTCCAAAAGTCTCAGTTGAAATGCTGCAAAAAACCGTTTTCGAGAGAATAACACGGATTCTTCATTTATTAGTGATATAGTAGGAACAGATAAAGTGTAAATGAATGTTCTCTCAAATAGCTCTTCATTTGTGAAACTTGATGTAAGCAGCAAACACATAGTCACGGCGCACCGACAGGGGACAAGGGTGTCATTAAAGCACCGCCCTCCAGTGTGCTGCAGCTTCTCCGAAGAAGCATTCTGTAAGGCAAACACCCTGTCATGGTGATAGCACTTCGATTTCTAACAGAAGGGCTCCAAATCTGATGTGCTCTTCGGCTTGGCATCATTTAAGCCGAAGTGTAGCGGCTTTCGGTAGCTACAGTGGCCGGTAACCCCGAAAAGGGCTCAGCAAGAAGCAGTTGGAGTGGTAGCGAACTCTGAAAATAGCAGCACGGTGGAAGTAATCGGAATGAATTATGAAGACGATAGAAATAAGCCTGCAGTGGAAGGTGGGGGGGGGGGTGAGCAATATGAGCTCTGTTGTTATTTCCGACCCATTAGTTTTTCTTTTTCTCGTTTATTTTGAATTTTGTTCCACGATCGCTGGCTGATAGGCTCAGCCAGGCGCGATTGGAACGCCTCTGGAGTATTTTTGAAAAATGATCCAAATTTTGTTGGATGAACCCTCCCTTTCAAAAACGAGAAGAGCGTCGGGTGCAGACCATACACCACAAGTGACGACGGCCTCCACAAAATGTAAATGTTTTCTGCCAATGAAATGATTAGCCTGTTGCAGTTCTATCAGTTGTCACTAATTACAACTATCATTTACCAAAATCAGCTATCACTATGAACACTACTAACCAGATTTACTTGGAGGCCGTCGTCACTTGTGGTGTATGGTCTGCACCCGACGCTTTCTCGTTTTCAAAAGAGACTATAAGTGTTAACTCAATCATGACTCCAGAGCAGCACCATAATTGAGAAGGGTCCGAAAAAGCAGACAACTCACTAGGAGGGAGTCTGGAAGGTTTTCTCATCGTTCAAACTTCCCCACCCGCGAAAGTGCCGCAGCGCACGCGACTATTCCTCTCCCGTTCTTTCTGTGACTCACCCGTGACGCGCGACGCCCCATAGGCAGGAAATTTGAATAGGGAAAAACGCCCACACCCAAACAGAAAATGCTCGGTGCGCGGGAAAACTTGGATCGATCGGCATTGCGAGCGTGCGCCGATATGCTGGGGCACATTTTGGACTATTTCCTTAGCATGCGGGCCAAGCTCCAAAATGCCTCCTCGGCCAATACTCCAAAATAGCGGTAAATTAATTTGCTCTTCATCTCTTTCTGGTTGCAGCAACTCGTCCGAACACTCTGCCGACCCGTCGTCGTCAAGTTCCCCGGGCGCCCCACCGAATATGAACCTTTTGCTCACCATTCGACTGCTCATGCAAGGAAAGGTCGGTACACCTCACGTTATCATAACTATTAATAGAAGGAGCATTTTACCATTGCAGGAAGTCGGCAGCATTATTGGAAAGCGAGGCGATCAGATCAAAAGAATTCGAGAAGATTCGGGCGCAAAAATCAACATATCGGACGGGTCGTGTCCGGAGCGGATAGTGACGATCACCGGCAGTTTGACGACCATCAACAAGGCCTTTGCTATGATCTCGAATAAATTTGAAGAGGTGAGCTCCCAATTTCAGGGTTCTCCAAGACCTTCGCCACCCTTAGAAGGGTTGATTGGACAGAAAATTGTGTCGAGAAGGCCACGACCAGACCTTCTTAGCATTCCCGCTTCAACTCTCAACTCCCAGTGGTTCAGATATGGCGCATTGTGGTGGCGCAAGGTGTGGTTCGCTAGGACAGAAAACCGACCTTTCCGCTTCCCGCAGCGCCGAAACGTTTTCGCTGCGGGAACCCTAGGTTCATGCGTGATTAGTGGGTCGTGCTTGTAACGACCATCGTGTTGCGGTGCCAGCCAACAGAGCGATTTGCTGGTCGCGACGCGACCGCGGACGCCAGCGAATCGCCCGATTCGCGAAGTGTGACATCGGCCTGATGAGGTAGTCTATGTCCTAAATAAGTGTGTCATGTCACGCGGCGCGTCGCGGAGGTTTTTCATTTGTGTCTTCCGCATGCCAAATTTCCGTCAGAATGGATCTTAACGTTCAATCTTTATCACCGGGGGATGACAGTAATTTGAGCAAGCATTTTTCGAGCTTCTCTCCTAAACAGTGCCCTGACGTGTACATGGCCATCTCGGCGACAATCTTGCAGGCGTTGATACGACAAGCATTAATGGAAGAGGGATCCACGCGCTCGTGAGCAACGATAGGGAAGTGTCAGCTCGAGTTTTTCTATTTGAGATGTGCTCTTATGAGAATGTGATTACCGGGATGGAATCCACTATGATGAGAGCTGAACAAACGCTGGGTCGCCTTATCACCTTCTGAAAAGGTCTCCCGTCGATGCAGGACCTCCTGATTCTCACTCGTTTCGCAAAAACGAATGTGGTTCATTATGTTGCGGTTTTGTTTGTTCATGCAGTTCGGCCAAGGTTGGTCTGTTGAGACGGCGATAGAATGAGCTTCTCGGCAGTGTTTTATCCTGCAATCGAGGTCGGTTCGGATTTCAAGTAGTCCGCTCAGCGGGCAGGATCGAATGTCGTCACGTTCTGCCCGAAGCAGCATCGATCGCGACGGCCAAGGCGACGAAGGTCTCGAAGTGGCATCGGACGTGAAAATAAACATTACAGAAACACAACTTTGAGGGGACGGCGTGCTACGAATGGTTCCATCGCTTGACGCGGGAAGGAAAACAGATTTGTTGTGAAGATCAAGAAGATAGTGTCACTGGAGGGAGTACAATGTCACTATTGCGGACCTCGACAGGAGGGTCCACTTGCTGGCGTAAAACCGGCGCAAGTCGCACCGCGAAAGACTCTTGATGTCCTACCATAAAAGAGTTTGGTAAACAAAGTGGATCTCCAAGAACTCAATTAGGTGCTAAAGGCACAGCCCACGATCAAACTGGTGTGGTTCTGGCCTATAGAAATGAAAGCAGGAGTGTGAAGTCGACTGGCAGTGGTGAACAAAGGAGAAGAATCCATCGAATGAAAGTCAAATCAAGGGCTTCCTCATCCTTACAATGGGGATCTCTTGCAGCAGTAAGACACAAGCAGGCAGTAGAGAGGAAAGACGAGAAGGGTACAAGGGATGGGAGGGCGTAATATCCGTATTCTGCGAAAGAAGGTGGAATCGGTTGAAGCGGTTAAGGTAGGACCATAGCGCCATTGTAGCGCACTTTCCAGCTAGGGAACGGGACATCAGTGACTTTCACGGACAACCATGTAACCCACAAAAAGGATTGATCCACTTTAACTCACGTTGAAGTGTGTCTTAAATAAACTCACGCTACCAAGGTATTTTTCAATTCACAGAGCGTCTTCCCCCAGAAGTCACTCTCCGGGTGATTCTCAAGGATTTTCAAGCTTTTCAGGATATGCGTGCTTTACCGAATTCCGTTCCGAAGCCCCCGATCACGATGCGATTGATCGTACCGGCGACGCAATGCGGTTCACTTATAGGAAAAAGCGGTTCTAAAATTAAGGAGATTCGAGAGGTGGGCCTTTTGGACATTATTTTTATCGAGTGTTTCTTTTCAACTTACGAAATGTTTGCAATTGCAATCCGATCGATCGCTCTTGGCCGGCCCTGATCTGCTGTTATCCAATGACCGTACAACCGTTTATATATCCCGAACTACCATAGTTTCTTTTTCAAAATGCCTTATGATCAGACTCAGAAATTGAACTATCAAAACTTGAGAAAAAATTGAGGCCCGACTTCACAATCACTTTGGGTCTTTTAATCTCAAATTGAAGAGCGCTTCTCAGATTCATAGTGGAGCTATAGCGCAGTAATGGTTTGGTAAGAGCGGCTCAAAAAGCTTGATGAGGTCGGCAGAGGGAATGGCCGTGGGTACATTTAGTTCGCCTACCACTTAATTAAACCCATTCTGACCACTAGTACCTAATAGACAGTGTTCGTGAGCGCAGAGCAAAGCCTTTCCAGACGTTCTGTTTTGACGCCGAGGGCTAGCTGTTGCCCTTTCGCCTAGGCATTGTCGTGCTCACCTCGAGTTTCCTGGCCATCTGTCGTCGGCGCTATTTCTTGCTGAGGCGGCAGAGCCAGTGAATTCGAAATCGTTTGTTCTTGGGTTTTTTCCCGACGACGCGCATGATTGAAGTAGTGGTGACAAGCGCTCGAGGAACATGAGAGGGTGCACTTTATGAATGCGTTTCGCTGGAATATGAACTGTGGAGCAGGGCAGCCGCCGAAGCGAATGACCCACAACAAAGCCGTGCGTGACTCTCTGAACGAGTAAGTACATTGGTTCGGTGGCTAATGAATATTCGAGAGGTTTTGGGAGGTTTTCTGCGAAACTCTCTGTCTGCGCCTGTGCTGGAGTAACCGGGTCTCATCCAGGGATACCTTTGGCGTTCCTTTTTGCTTTTTGCAAATAAAGCGTCCTGAATTTTTGTACGACAATGACAAAGAGCCTATCCAAGGGATGGATACTCGGGTATCAGAGAAATGAGTAAGTGGGGGAGATCACCCTTCATTACGAATGAGGGACTCGAGATCCCCTTGAAGTGTTGTGCTGCTTCTTATCCCGAATGGGGGCTCAGGAAGAAGCATGGCTCAGGCGCTGTTCAGGTCAACGTCAGAACTGTAAATAGTGCTCTTTTTCGAAGAAGAACGAGCAACCAGCGCCGTCTCGAAGCATCTCGGCGCGAAGCAAATGCGACGAGATTCTTAACGATCGCAGCGATTACCTCTTATTGCTCTTTATATTTTTGAGTATCGCTAGATGGAAGTGTACGTCCAGCGAGGAACTCCAAGCTCCGCCCGCTATTGACGGCTCGTGACGGGGAATATGAGAAAAATCGAGAACGAGATCAGAAGGCGTTCGATTTTTCCGATCATTTCTCCAGACAGTAACATAGAAGATTCTCAATGAATATTTAAATCTGTGGATCAGAGCGCCGGGTTTCCCCGACTATCCCCTTCGTGCTCCATTTTGCGCACAGATCCA